TTATGAGGTGTAGGCCAGAGGTTCAGGGGGCTGAGAGGATTCAGCAGAGACAGAGTGGGGAGCAGAACAGGCAGATGGACTGAAATACACTGCTGAGGGGAGCAGCAGGCAAGAGAGGAGAGGCCTGCTGCGCCCTGTGTGTCGGCTCCCTGGCTGGGATCGAACTCGCGCTGCAGTGGCTGCGGCAGCTTGATAGTGCTGCGCTTCAACCCGCTGCGTCACCAGGGAGGGCCCCTGACTTACAGTTTTGAAAGACCTCTGGAAGCAACGTTGAGAGGAGGCAGTAGAAGGCTGAGGCCAAGTCAGGGAGGCGAGTTGGGAGGCTGTAACAGGTCACAGGTGTAGACGGTGGCGGCTCCGGTGGAGAGACAGAGGCAGAGTGGTGATGAGAGACCCAGGTCATTTTGGGGTCAGGGGAGCTGGTTCCTTCTACTTGAAAAATTTGAAATGTAGTGTGTAAGAGGATGGGGGACCTTCCAGAGAGATGGAGGACCAGCCGAGAGTAACATGATCAGGTTTGCATTTGCAAGGGTCTCCAGATCGCAGTGGCAGCTGGGGAGGGGAGACAGAGGCTGGAAGCTGAGGGTGGGAGCAGGGAGCTCAGAAGTGGCGTGCAGAGGTGGTGGCATGTCCCAAGCCCTGGACCATCACTGTTGGGCCTTACCTCAGGACCTGGACTTGGGGACCAGCAAGGCTGGGTGTCCCCTAAAGACAAGTCAAGTGGAGGGGCGGTCAGAGGCTGTCATGACCTTGGGTACCCCAAGACCAAGAGCTGGGGTGTCAGCCAGAGCTTTGGGCTGAGATTGGAAAGTAGACCCTGACCGACACCTGTCACCTGGAGTCTTCTCCCGAGAATAGGTCCTTGTTCCGAACTTGGGAGTGAGCAGGCTCATCACACTCGTGCTCAGATGCCCGTGACAGCGAAGGGGCTCGGCACACCCCACTGTCCAGCTTCAGGTCCTGCTTTGGGAGGAGGTGGGCAGAGCTGCCAGAACCTCCCTCCTCACCTGGTGCCTCGCCACTTAGTAGATGCCAAGTGTCCTCAAAGAGTGACGTTCTCAGGAGGTGACCCAGAGGGGAGCGCGTGGAGGCAGCCGCCGCCTTGGCTCCCAGGGCGGCCCCCCGCAGTCTGGGGCCCGGGCGGGGCGTGCCCGCGCGGCTGACTGTGCCCCACCCCTGCAGAAGCGGTACCGCGCCGTGTACGACTACAGCGCGGCCGACGAGGACGAGGTCTCCTTCCAGGACGGGGACACCATCGTCAACGTGCAGCAGATCGACGACGGCTGGATGTACGGGACCGTGGAGCGCACGGGCGACACGGGGATGCTGCCGGCCAACTACGTGGAGGCCATCTGAGCCCGCGCGCCGCCCGCCCCGTCGTCCACGCATTCCACGGCATCGCATCCGTCCGCGGGACCTGTCCGCCGTCAGTGTCTGTTTTTTTAAGTCCGCGACAGCTTCTTTCTGCCCACCCTCCTCCAGCTTCTTCTGCCAGGCGAAGCCTTGTTCTTCGGCGGGGTCCTTCCCCCGGCAGGTTTTCCCCTTGACCAACCTCTTGGTTTTCTCTCCGAATGGATCAGATGTGGGCCTCTCTGGGGGAGGGCTGGCCTGGAATGGGGGACCCATCAATTCCCAGGTCTCCGCTCCTCTCTTGTTCACCCCTCAGACCTTCCCGCTCACCTCACACACTCAAACATTCCAGGGCTGCTGAGCCCAGACTCCCAGGAGCCCCTGTGGGGGCTTCCTACATTCCCACAGGGCTGGGGATGGGGTGGGGCGGCCCCTGTGTGGGGACCAGTGCGGGGCTTTACCTCTGCTTCTCAAAGGCGGCCGCCGGACTCCCCACCCCTCCTCTCTCAAGGACAGCAGAGGAGGTGAGCTCTCGCCTCAGGACGCAGCCGTCCCTCCCCACACATGCCCTTCTCACACTGTGATTCTGCCCTCCTGCCACGCAGGCCTCGTGTGGCGAAGAGTTCCTCGGGAAGCTCGCCTTGGGCTCCGTTCTTGCCTTTCTGACTTTTCGGGACAGCTGCAGGAGGAGGGGACAGGGTATTCTCTCCACCGCGCTTTTTCCTGAGTCACACCTCCGGTCTCCAGAAACCCTGGCTTGGCACTGTGGTCCGGAAAGGGGCCTCCCAGTCTGTGCCAGCCCAGAGCCCTGAGATCTGGGTCGGGCTGGCCGCTTTTCCCTATTCCTCTCTGGAAGGCGTCTTAGGACCGTTAGCTCCAGGATGAGCCATGTGGGGGAAGGGGTGTGGGTGGCATGTGGGGGTGAGTGTGAGGTAACTTCCCACGGGAGCCTGGCTTTCCCTGGGGTACAGACCTGTCTTCCCCTGGAGTTTTTCTCAAAACCTACTGTGAGAGGAAAGGGCCCTGGGGAGAAAAGTTAACTTATGTTTTCTTTGGAGTGAAAATTCCTCCTCTCCTCCTGTCCCCTAGCAGAGGACGCCCACCTGCTGTGTGCTGGGCAGAAGCCATGGGATGAGTGAGTCAGTGAGGCTGATGTTGGGGCTTTGGCTTATGGGGTAGCCCCAGGCATATTCTCTTCCCCATCTCTGTCCTCTGGGCTGCAGAATAGGAGGCCAGAGGGCCCTGTTCACCCACACTGTGGGTGTCTTACTGCAGGGGCTCTCCCCCTAGGGGTCTCCCTGGCTTACCTAAAGCCCTTTGATGCAGAGGGAGAGGTTCCCAGGTAACAGAACTGGAAGCACAGACCCCGGGTGAGGAAGGGCAAGATGGTGCTATCTCCAAGTCCCTCTGCTCATCTGGTGGCTGTGACCATCCTTTCCTGGCTACCTTCACCTCTGCGCTTTCTTGTCCCCACCCCACTCCCATTTTCACTGACTCCAACCAGGCCTCCCAGCTGACTTCCTTGCACTCTGTGCCTGCAGGGAGGGCTGGGCCTGAGGGTGCTGGTGTACTCAGTGTCCTGGGGCTGTTTTTACCAACTGCTTTTGAGTTTACTTGGGGACACTTCCCAAATCAAAAGACTGAGGACCCCTGCCCCACCATCCCCTTGGAGGGAGGGCAGGTAGCAGGGAGGGAGCGCCGGTGGCCTGGGAGAGGTGCTGGTCCATTCCTTTTCCTTTTGATCTCAAAGCACAACCTGCATTCTGGGACCAGAGGTCAGAGACATCCAGCTGAGGCCTGCAGAGGGAGGGTTGTTGGGGCTGAGGGAGGCCCAGCAGCAGCCTATTTTCATTCTGCTTCATCTTTGAAAACAAGGAAGGGGGCACTGGAATCTTGCTACCAGCCCCTTACTCCTCCCATCCTAAAAATAGGGGAACTTTTCTGATAATCCCCCATGAGAAGAGGGACTGTCACACTGGTGCTGAGGGGCCCAAGGGCTGCTGGGAGTCCTTATTCCTTTCCAGAATCATCCATCCCTAGAAAAGCACAGAATGAGGGCTGGGCCGAACCCTTAGCTTCTCCTTACCGTTCACAGTCTAATCCCGGGAAAGGAGATGTGTCAAAGCTGGAATGTGAATATAACTTTAGTGGAACAATAATAAAAGGCAAGAAGCCCGATGGTGAGAAAAATGAATTCTCTCAACACTGCTTCCTGTTTTCTTCCTCATGTCCCTCCAGGGAAAACTTGATTGCTTAATTTCTGCCTTTTTTTCCCTCACATATGCACTTTTGGGCCCCCCCCCTCTTTTTTTTAATAGCTGGAAAAAAAAAATGCCACCCCACAAACCTGTATTTAAAAAGAAACAGAAATAACCACGTGAGGTATTTGTCCAGACATTTCATCATGTGTGTGGAGCCGTCCATTCATCTTTCACATGGGGTGGTTGTCTTTTCTTGGTCTGTTTTGTCCCCTCCCTCGTGGGCCTGTGCTTCAGATCAAACCTTTCTGGCCTGTCATGATTCTGAACATTTGACTTGGACCACAAGTGAATCTTTCTCCTGGTGACTCAAATAAAAGTATAATTTTTACCTGCGGACTTGGTTTTCTCCCTGGCTCTCTGCGGTGCTGCTGTGTGTGTGCATCCTGTTAGAGGACATTGGCCCATCGTCCCTCAGAGAGAAGGGCCGTTTGGAAGCTGGAAGCATGGGAGGAAAGGAGAGGCACTTTGCTGGCTCTCAGATGGGGGCCTTGGTACTTGCTCCCAATAACGCACCGCCAACCTGCTCCTGGCTACCCCATCAGCCCAGCTGGGTGACGCTGAAGTTTCCCTGAGCTCCCACAGTTGCTTAGGCCCTGACCTCTCCACCAGCCTGTCCCATCACAGGGCAGGCCAGGGCAAGGCTTTACATATTTGTTGCACTAGTGAATGAGCTCAGTTTGGGGCCTGAAACAGTCTGGCACATAGTAGGAGCTTGCACAGGTTTGAAGACTGGAATGATGGATCCTGGGCCAGTGCAGTGGGATGAGAAGTCCACCCCACCTGGAGCAGTTCGCAGTGCCTTTCCCATCTTTTAACACATCCCTTTTAACTCTGGTCTCATGAAGAGGGAACTGTTGGCAATAGCCACCTTACAGGTGGGCTTCCCTGAGACCTAGAAAGGCTGGTTTGCTTAAGTCACAGGGTCAGTGGTAGGGCTGGAGGTCTAGGACTTCCAGTCATGCTCGGAGCCAGCCCATCAGCGTCTCCCATGCTCCCTGCTTTGCTCCAGGTTCCCTGGACCTGACCTCTGACCAGAAGGCCAACCACCATCCCCTCTTGGGTTGGGGCAGAAGGAATCCAGGCACGCCCTTCTGCCCCAACCCTTCTTCCCCAGCGCGGTGTTGCCACTGGCCTGTGCAGGCACTTCCTTCATACAGCTCATGCTCCAAGAAGGCCTCTGACTTCTGCATAGTAGCGGGGTGCAGAGAAGAAGGGCTTTCCCCAAACTGAGGCTTTGTGGTGTGAGAAGGATGCTGCTGAGTCAGCAGGACCAGAGCAGAACCTGGGGTGTCAAGCAGCCAGGATAATTAAAGACAATACACACCTGCTCCCTGCCCCAGGCCTGGCGGAAGGAACTCAGTGGGTGAATCTCTCCTCCTATCGGCCTGTTCTGGTCTTTGCAGATGTGCAGCCTCTTCTGTCCAGAACTCTGTCTGCGTAACTCAAGGAGGCCTTGGGAAGATATTAGGGGGCAGTCTGCTTGGAAGGGTCTCAGTGCCAAGTCTCCCTGCTCACAGAAAGCTCTGTACTCAGCCTCCTGGGCACTGGAGGCAGTGCCCAGAGGAGCTTCTAGAGCCCCCTTTTGGAAGTGACCCAAGTCCCTGAGACCTCACATGTGGAGGGGTTACCCTTACACTTACCCCACATCTATTAGTTCCCTTGAACCTTGGGGTGGTACCAAAGGTATTAGGCCTCAAAATTGTCACAGGGAATTAAAAAGTTCTAATAGGAAACAAGACATAAGAAAGATATAACTGAACACCCACCCCACCAACCTGAAAAGTAAAACATCCATTCTCCTTTCCCTTGGAAGATACAAGGTGAGTTTGCATTTCCAGAAACTCTTAACACAGGGATGGTTCTCAGGGTAGAATGCTGTGCTGAGCTCTAAAGTGCATGTAAGGGAAGAATGTGGTGGTGACCGCAGGGAGACGAAGGAGTAGTCGAAGGAGTAGTCTGAGGAGGGTCAGCTGATGCTCACCCAGTAGGTGGGGTGAAGTAAGCACAGCCTGGCTGGCTAGCTGGGCAGGGCAGGTGGTGTGGGGGGGCTTTCCTGACTCTCAGGGTGGGCTGGGCTGGGCTGGGCTGAGCGGGACACCAGCGTGCAGGCTTGGTGCCAGCCATGTCCGAGGAAACATTAGGCTAAGGTCCCAATCAATGGAGCCGCTTCTGTGGACGGTGGTGGAGAGGCTGAAATTACACCGCCTGAGCGATGTCAGGCGGTGTCTGGGTGTAGGAATCTCACACAAGGCAGCTGCCCCACCGCAGCGGAGCCAACTGCGACTGGCATCGTGCTCCTCCATGGCCTGACTTACAACTTGCCCACGGCCCGCCCAACTCCCAACTAATATCTTTCTGAGATAATTTGCCAGGGAATTGTGAGAGCGGAAAGAAGACAGGCCGTCAACAGAATTCATTCCAAGGGGGTCCGGGCAAGACCAGATCTCCTCCCACGTCCTTATCATGCAGACTCCATTTAGACACAAAGGGGTGGGATTGGGTTCCTGGGGGGAAATTGAACCTCTTCAGAGCTGCCTGGTCTAAATCGGGCAGTTCCCTGGTTACCGGCTCCGGGCTCTGTGATTGGTTGGCTGGGGGGTAGAGGCTGATGGAGCTGCTGCATCCCTTAGTCTCGGGACTGGGAGGGGGAGGGGACGGGGCGCTGAACCGTGAGGGGAAGAGGGAGCCATTTCTCTCCACTGAGTGCCACCTCCGTGATCCCAGCTCCCATTTTCCCGGAATCCGGAGGCCTCGTCAGCCAAGGCCTGCGCGATGCTGGATATTTTCATCCTGATGTTCTTTGCCATCATAGGCTTGGTCGTTCTGTCCTACATTATCTATCTGCTCTAGTCCTGCAGCGGCGGCCGGGAGGCGCTGACCGACTCCGGGGCAAGGATGAAGCTACCCGCCCAGACACCCTGCTTGCTGACGCACCGGTGGATTTTTGCTGCTGGTCGTTATTTCGGGTATTGATTCAAAAACAAAATTAAAAGAGATCTTATTACCCCACCCTTTTTTTTTTAAACCCTCCCTTGCTGTAGCATTTTCCAAACCTCCCTGAAAAGAATGCCAACTTCCTTCTTTCTGACCTAATTAAAAATAACAAAATTTTAAAAGTAAAACCCACGATGTGTGGGATTTTTCCATAGAATGGGCTGGGAGTGGTGTGCATGGCGGGAGGAACCTAGTTTTTCCTTTAGGTGATAAAACTCCAAGCTGTCTGTTTTCTCCCAATAACTGAAGGCAAAACACTTCTTTTTGTCAACAGAGTGACTTAAAATTATGCCTGCATTCTTCCATCAATTAATTAATTAGTGACTCAGTCTCAATGGAGGATGAGACAACTAGTGAAATTTACTTGGGAGTGGGGTTTGGGATGAGATGTTCATTCTTTCCAAACTGTGGGGTTTGGTGGAGAGGTGTGAAGAGCTACTAATTCCCTTCTCAGTTCACAAGCAGTATCTGGGAGCTGATACCTTTGCTGCTATTCCCATCTGAGCTGTGCTGTGTCTGGATTTCCCACAGCTCCTGGTCTCCAGTCCAACAAGAGGCCTCACCTCAACCTCTTCCAGAGTCCTCCGGATACGGTTAACCCTGATCAAGCTGAAATCAGAGGCAGAGGCACTCGGCTGGGACATCAGAAATTCATGAGCATGGCTGACAGATGCTACGTGGGTTTGAGCTGTAGATAGAGGGTGTTGGAAATGCAGGGAGCGGAAATGTAGACTCGTTAACATTAAAATGTAGACTGCTCAAAACTTCATTTTTATAGCCTTTCCTGAGTCTGAATGCAATGCATATTGTGCTCAACGTTTTTCCTCTCACTTGCAGGATGCCCTTGAAAGTTCAGGAGCATGTTGTGGGTCTTCATCAACGAAGTTGTCACGTTAGAGACTGCACAATCTGAGGTTGTGTGGTTTCCCTTGTCCCTCTCTAGCCAGAAGAAACTTGTCATTTGACTTGCAAAGATTCATCTTAGCTCCCCACTTGTGCCCCAGCTTCTCATTTAAAGGCAGAGACAGTTTATATAGTACTCACTTTATGTCTGATGGTTTTATAAATTATTAAAATGATGGCAATACTATTTGAATGAAAAATATCTCTTACCCTGTGAATGTTTTTTTATATTGCCAAACATTCCTTTTCTGAAAACAAAAACTCCCAAAATGTTTTTTTGTTTTTTGTCCAATTAGGAATGCGAAAACCATATATTTTGGGGTCCAGAGTAGAATTAGGGTCCAAATCTGTGGTATCTATTCCTTCAAGAAGCCCACATTAATTGTTCTACATCTGATTTTCCTTTGTAACTTAAAAATAAGCAAGAACCTATAACTAGTTTTTATTTATAACATTGTGTTGAATTTCCATGTTTTAAAAAGAAAATTGAGGCAGTAAGATATATGCAACAACTAAAATGGGAAACTTGCATTTAAAATTTTTGGTTAAAAAAACTGTTCTAAAAGTTTTGTGTCTTGGCAATAAATTATGTGACCTTTAATAAGTTATTTGACCTTTGGGTCTTCAGTTTGTGTTGACAAATGAAAGACTTGGATTAGAAATTTATGAATGTCCCTTCTATTCAGAAAATTCTATAGTTCTCAACTGCACTGTTTTTGGAAAGTAAACCTTTGAGGCAGAATTCCCATGGAACAAACTCTTAATAGCTTACCAACAGTCCGCTTATCTTCTCTCCTAATATGACAAAACTCAACTGTAAAACTTTTTTTGGCCCCCCAAAAGTCCCATTTTGAGGAGAAAATGTTAGTGCTCAGCAGTGATCACTTGCCCAAGCTGTTTAGGGAATCTGACAGATACGCCCACGTAGGAAGCCTGGCTGAGAACATGCTGGCATTCAGGGGTGATCTTCAGGGACTGCAATGTCTTTGAAGTGACAGTTCCCACCACAGTGTTCCTTGGACTCAGGCCTAACCTTGTATTTCCAACTACACTTTTCTACATCAAGCCAGGGTAGCAGCTCCACATCTTTATCCAATTAGGACAAGTTACAGGTAGTCATGGAGGTGTGTCTTCATGGTATAGTTACGCTCACTCTGAAGTCTTTGATGAGGTCGAGGCTCTCAGCCTGAAGCCATACAAAATTGAAATAACCAATCAATTCAGTGAAAAAAGTCCGCAGATTTCAGGTTTATTCCAGTGGTATATACTGCAGGCAGTGGGTGCACTGTAAGGGCACAAAATGACCCATCTTTTCATTGATTTGTGAAATAAAATGGTTTCCAAAAGTAAATACATTTTGGAAGAAATGTTATAATTTGCATTTATATTCATGCTATAATTTGTGAGTTTATAACAGAATTTTGCTGTTGATCATTTCAATAACTTCTTAAAATTTTACATTTATTTTCAAAGATTTATTTATTTATACATACAGAACTGGGGTATAGGCCAGAGGTGGGGGGAGGTGAAAGGATTCACCAGAGACAGAATGGGGAGTAGAACAGGCAGACCAACTGATATACACTGCTGAGGGGAGAGGTAGGCCGGCAGGGAGAGGTCTGCTGCACCATGTGGGTCACCCCTCTGACTGAGGATCGAACTCCTGCTGCAGTGGCAGTGATAGCTTCATAGTGCTGTGCTTTAACCTGTTGTGCCACCAGGGAGGGCCCTAATTTCACATTTAAACTATTTGTATATAGGTTACCTAAAACCAAATAAAGCACTGAAACGTTTACTTCTATATTAGAAAGTTTTTAATAAAATTTAACAAGTCTGGCTTATAAAATGGGAATTGTTCTAGCTCTACATCAATTATCCATTAGTTAGAACAAAAGCCACTACAGCATGAGTGTCTACAGTTATTTAACTGAAATAAAATTTCTCTGGGTTGATGATATAAGTTCAGGAATGTAGGAAATAGAATCATGATTATAATTATATTATTATTACTATTATGGTTATTATTTTTATGTTTAGATTTACAAGAGTAACAAGATTTTGCTAATGTATGGTGACATATTTAATATGTCTCTCTATTCCAGAATAAATGACTAGGTAGTTGACATTAGAACAAAAATCCTATCTTGCTTTGTTTAAGTGAGAAAACCAGTATAAAGAAAGCAAGATTTGACCCTCTCTAGTTGCACAACAGGTTAAAGTGCAGCACAGCACTGCAAGGGAGCCCTAGCCACACACTTCAGTGCAAGTTCAATCCCCAGCCCCGAGAGGTGATCCACATGGCGCAGCAGACCTGACCCTCCTGCTGCTCCCCTCAGCAGTGTACTTCATCAGTCTGCCTGTTCTGCTCCCCACTCTGTCTCTGGTGAACCCTCTCATAGCACCTGCACTTCAGTTCTGTAGGCATACATAAATGAATCTTAAAAAGAAGAAAAGGAAGCTAATGAAAAAAGTAAAGCAAGAGTTTTGGAGATTGTATATCTACCTAAAGAATTCATCACAAAATTTGTTCTGAAGAGGTGTGAACCTATATCTCTAAATCATATATGGTGCTGTAATAATATATGATAATAATATCAACCTCACCTCAATAAAAAGAAACAGAAAAGAAAAAGATAGTGTGGCATAATGCTAAGAATTATTACATTAATAGATGCTTTTTTGATCAAAATAAGGGGCTGATATGGGAAAATGATGTATTTTTACTTCAGGAAAAAAGAAGATTATTACATTAATGGATTCTTTCTTGATAAAAAATAAGGGGTTTTATGTGGGAAAATGATGTATTTTACTTCAGGAAAAAGGATATATTTTGGGAAATAGGAAAAGTAATTTCATTTTTCATTTAAAAAATGAAAAGTGTAAGTAAGTTAAAATCATCTAAGTCTCATTCTGGGTATGTAGACTCAAATCCACATTTTCTGACTTTGAAGTCAGCAGGACATGACTTAGTAAATTTTAGAAAATTTGATTTTTAAAAGGTTTAAACATAGCACTATTCAAACTTCAAAATCTCTTAAAAGTATTATTTTACTTTTAAATTTCTTAAAATAATGGAATTTCGGGCTCTCCCTGGTGGTACAACGGGTTAAAGTACCACATTATGAAGCTCTCCAAAGCCACTGCAGCATGAGTTCAATCCCCAGCTAGGGAGTGACCTTTCTTGATTCGCCTGCTGCTCCCCTGAGCAGAGTATTTCAGCACATCTGCCTGTTCTGTTCCCCACTCTATCTCTGGTGAATCCTCTCACCCACCACACCTCTGGCCTGTACCTCAGTTCTGTAAGCATAGAGAAATAAATCTTTAAAAAAAATAGAATTTCCTTCAATAAAGTACTTAAACATACTTAAAGTAGAAAGTTATCTATAAATTAGATGCTTTCTATAAGTTATACGGCTTTACTGCACTCCTAATGTTTGCTAAGCTTAGTTTTGCTTCCATCTATTTTAGACCAAGATAAAACCAGAGTATGGTTTTAGCTAAAGGAGGGAAGAAAAGAAGGTGTAGACACAACTTCCATTATAAACTCAAACATGCTAAGTCATATTCAATTAGACACATTTAAGAACCTCTTGTTAGAAAAACACTTGAAAGATTTTGTTGCTACGGGAAACTGCAGGTAATCCATATATTTAATTATATATTTTATAACTGGTTATTTTGCTTAGAAATTTGGTCTCTGAATTAACTAGCAGAATAATATAGAATATTATGTTCTACTTATAAATTATTGTTCTATTTATGAATTATTGCAAGTAAATACAATTATTTTATTTATTTACTCATGAAGTTAACAGTAAGCATTTTTACATTATATGTAGGTAATTGCCAGATTACTTTAGGGTATTTTGTTTTTTGACCATGATAGAGTTACAATTAGCAGCTTAAATAAGTCCCTGTACAAGAAATAATTTAAAAGAATTACACAACCCACATTTGTATAATGACAAACTCTGAACAAGTTAAAAATGTTTCTAATTTTTATTAATATGAATAAATAAAACTAGCAAATATTAAATAGGTATCAGAAATAGTTTACCATTGATACAAAACTTTTAAAAAATGCATTTTTTTCAGCTTTGTGCACTTTTAAGAAAACAATGATCTTAGAGTATGTATAAGCACTCATTTTTTCTTTTAATTTAAAAACCCTAAAGGGTTTACCTAAGTTTTTTGTTTAAGTCTCTAGTTAAGTCTTTCTAGTTATATTTACTTTCTTGACCAAAAGAAAAAAAAAGTGTTTCTAATTCCTTGGCACTTTCTTTTTAACCTGGAAAAGGCACCTATCTGCTTTCAGTGATGTCACAATAATCCAAGGAACAAGTATCCAGAGGGTGATTTCAACAGGTTTCCCAGCTGCCTGCCAGTGGAATAAGTGAAGGAATTTTATCACTAGGAGAGAGGTTTTTAAAGTGGCTTCACAATACTTACTGACATCAAAATCTGTAGTCATATATTTGAATGATTCACTTAAAGAGGTTTACTCTTAAGTAATAATCACATGAAGAAGATAGCTTATTAGGGGCATAAAATGGTTCTTTCAGTCGTACCTTGTGTTAGTCATATCTTGCATGTTCTAATCTACAAAGGTGAATAAAAGAAGTTCTTGTGATAAGAACTGGAAGCAAGAACAGAGGCTGGACAAGGGTTATACCAAGGAGAAAACAACCTGATATGTAACAAACTGAACTTCTCAACTGTGTTACAGTAAAATGTGTTTAGAAACAGTAAAGATAAATATGATACTCTGTTTTCTAGCTTGCCTTCTAGTGGGAAGAAATTTTATTAACTAACCAAAGGAGGCTAAGAAAATCACAATAAAAAGGAAAAAAAGAACTAGCAGTCCAGATCAATTTTCTAATTTGGAAAAAGGGACAGGATAAATTATCTGACCCGTTATTATTTTACACAGTGATGTTAGTATGACTGCCTAGAGTTAGTCAGAATTGTACAGTGTCCTAAAATTTGAAGGTTATTTAGTTTACAAATGTTACTTTGCTGGCTTTATGACTGCCTATCCCATCCCTTAATCATCTGTACTCATGATAATAAAATATGCTTTTGCAAGACAATTTCCCAATTTGAAATTTGATATCATCTTTTATTCCTGATGGCAAGTATTCAATCAAAAACTGGACTGCTCAATTGCAAATTTGACCTCAAATATTATTCTTATATATTAGTAATTGGAGGACAAATTTGTCAGCTTACAAATTATTGTTAACAAAATGACATCATTTGTCTAATGTATCAAAAGAATGAATCAGATTTTTTTATGTTCCAAATATCTGAAGATGCTGACTTAATAAACAATGTTAGTTTAAAAAAACTGTGTCAGTTCAACTGTGTTAATACCTTGCTCAAAAATAGTTTTAAATTAAACTATACTCCTTTTATAAACTAGCTGAAAATAACTTCTTTGGAGACTGATAAAATCAAGGAATTAAGGAAACTTCAAAATGCCAAAATTTCTTCTCTAAGCAAGTGAAATTCAACATCTACTTATTAGAATGTTAAACATGTTCATTATTTACATTAAAATTTTTACTTTTGCACTTATTTTTCCTCCAATAACCTAAATAGGGCATATTCTCAACTTGGAATCATCAATGTTAGATAAATGGCTTAGGTTTTCCCCAGAGCATGTATGGGAAAAAGAATGAGAGAGGGGTAAAAAAAGAAAATTAAGTTACCAGAAAATTGTATTCTGGTAACTACCAGCTTTTAATATTTATCATTTAGGGGAGGGTGAAATCTTAAATTAAGAAGAAAATGAAATCAGGATAAAAGTAAGGACTTTGTTTTTGCATAAATAGGCAAATGCTAAATTCTGTAGATAAAAATTCCTGCCAACTGTGGAATTATAGTTGGGTAATCTATCAAAGAAAGGCAGCTTCTTCCTGCCCACCAGAAATTAAGGTAAGAGATTTGTCATTGAACTCCAGTAAAAATCTTATCACAGTTTATACTTTCTCTACAATTCTCATTCAACCCTGTGAAATCTTATGGAGTCCCTCTTGCCCAACATTTGAGAATTTCTCACAATTTATATCCTACTTTTGCAAATAATTTTTTTTATCTTCTATTGTTTCTTCCCTTCATCAGCTCTCAAGGTGAGCTAAGTAAAGAACTTAGGAAAAGAAAGTCACCTTCTGAGAAGCCAGTGGGAAGGGTATGTCTACAGCAGAAGAAATCTAAGGAGAAGAAAATGGGTGATGATCCAGGAGGGCCCCAGCATTATCTTAGCCTGCTTCGGCATGATTAATTTCTACTTTAATGACAACACTGGTGGTGGCAGATGCTAGTCAGACTGAAATAGTCCTGGAGCTTCTTGGACTTCATTTACAGGGGTGAAGAAAGCCCGTCTCCCATGGTCTGCTCTAACAATTCCTGTTTCCAGCTTCCTTCAAGTCCTACTCTTTAAGTGAGAGGCAAAAGTTTAGGAAGAAACAAACTATTTGTGAACACTGTTCTGGCAGCAAATAACTACTTTCTTTTATTTTTTATCTTATTTGCAACACTTTACTCTTGTCCCCAGGAAGAATAAAAGATGATTTAATTATATTTAGTCATTATAAACCTTCCTCTACTTAGTAGACTTTTGGTATGATTTGTCTTAAAGAGATATGTGTATATATGATTTGTCTTAAAGAAGGAAATATGTGTTTACACACATACATACATGTATGGAGACATATGTGCACACAAGTACTTCCTTTGGTTTTTTATCTGTTCATGCAAAATGTAAACAAAATATAATGTTCTTTGTGATATGCCTAGAAAGTGATAAGAATGTGATTTATATTAGCACATTCTGAAACATTGTAAATCTCTCCCAAACATTCTAGGTTATATCTACACAACTTAAGCAACTAAGATTTAATCTGGGTCTGCTCTAACCAGAATTTTCTCTTTTTTTTTGAAGATCTACACATACAGATTGGCTGGCCGGAGATTCCTGGACACTAACATTTAATTTGGTGTTTGGTTTATAAAAGTTTAGAGAGGCAAAGCTTGTTTTGAGGAATCATATTCTTGGGTTTGCATATATATGTGTGTGTGTGTGTGTGTGTGTGTGTGTGTGTGTGTGTGTGCATACACACACACATATATAATGGTATAAGTGATTGATATATATTAATAATGGTATAAGTGATTGACTTCTAAAATTCTATGTGACTTTTGAATTCTTAGTTACTTAGGTGATAAAAAGTTGCATGGATGCTGAATGGGAACGCAATAACTCTTCTATTAGTTCAGTGAGGCATTCTCTAAAGGCCAGTCTTTCTGAGAATTTAGGCAGAGAGAGTATTCATGGTCAAATACAAGACCTCTTTATGGAAGTTAGCCTGAGCATGCACAAGATGGAACAAATTCAAAAAGCTTCTGTCATCTTCGTCACGGTCTCCTATACGCCATATGCAGGAATGGACAGCAGGGGAAAGAAAATGACAACATTTAAAATATGTGACTTATTGGAAACATAAGATGTTCCACTTTTTCTAATAATATATAACAGAGGACTAGTTAGTGATTTTTACTAAGTCAGATATTAGCCAATAAAGTTTAGTGATTTGTAAATTCCATTGCCATGACATTTTATAAGAGGGTTGGAATGGAGTCAGAAGAAAAGGACACTGGTTCATATTTTATTGCTTCTAATTTTATGACCCTGAACCATTTTCTCATCAGTAAAATAGGGTTGATGATCATGTTGGCTACCTAACAAAACTGTGAAGTAATAAAAGTTGAAATTATACAAATATAGGAAATGGTGATGATTATCATAGTTGTAAGTGAAGAAGTTAAATTTTTTTCACTGTGGAAAACTGAAATTATTTCCTTTCAGAGCAGAATTTTCATTTTATGTTTCCCACCAAAACCAATACCAGATTTTAAAAATGACAAATCTAGGAACTAAATATAGCTCTTGGAAAAACAAACAAAAAATGTCTGCTTCTTCTATTCTTAGTTTAGAAAGAAAAGTCAACATAAAGTTATTTCTATTTAAGTGGAGAATGCATTTTACTCATCCCTGTGTACCATGTACACGTGTACTTACCAGCCATAACTGCTTGTAGCATCTCCATTATGACACATGCAAATGCATTTGCCACACTCTGCAGGAAGTTATTTCTTTCCACTGGAGTGCTAAAAACTTTACAGACTTTCTGCATCATTTTAACTGCCCAATCCATGCAGTATAGTTCTTTCTCGCACACCTGATTTAGACATATAAAGCATCATTGTAAATTTTCAGATAAAGGAAGCTGTAGAATTTACAAATGGTACTAACAATAATAGTTTATGAAGTTATTGCACATAAATTTACACACATCCATATTTAATTCTCCTTTGTTTATAGTGTAATTTTAGTGGGGAAAAGTGTGATATAAATGAAAGTCTGGTTCAAGATTACCATAGAATATTATTTACTAATATAAGAACTAATTTTGAAAACAGTTATCAAACACAAAGATGGCCTCTGTTCATTCATCCAATAAGTATTTCTGAAGCACGTGCTCAGAGAGACAATGGCAAGCCATAAAGCTCACACAGCATTTATCAAGAGGTTTTTTTTTATATTTTCAAGAAGTCTAATGAAGGTAACAAATAAACAGGATAAACAGGCAATTTCAATAGGCAAGAGAACTCTATGGTATCATATCAAATTTCCATATTGATTATGGAATATTTGTTTCTAGTATTTAAAATGTAAATAAATACTTAAAGACTGCATATTAATAGTTAAAACTGTCAAAAAAAAAAGGTTTATTAACATTTCAAAAGACCAAGTTAACTTAGATAACTAAATAATAAACAGCATGAAAATAAAATATGTAGCAATGTGGCTTAAAAATGTTAGTATTACAGGAAAGATTTTTCAACTACTTATTGTATAAGTCACAGTACCAGGCTCTATGAAAGAAATAGTCCTGGATTTCAAAGAGCTTGCAATCTATTTTCAAAGGGCTTGCAACACACTTAATGGATTAAGATAAAAAGAAGACAAATTTGAAGTAATTAAGAGAAAAGTAATGATTAGAGTTGGGGTGTTAAATCAGTGAAGATTTTAGAGAGAAAGCTTCTTCACCACAGTGGCTTCTTTCCATCTCCTTTGCCAAAGTGACCTTCTAAAAACAAAACTGGCATGTCTCTCCCCTTCCTAAGACTTTTCAGCAGCTCCCTACTAAAACTTGGGTTCAAGCTCCATAGAGTCCTTCCTCCTCTTCTGTGTATCACACTCTTCAGAAGCAATACTTAATGACAGTCTTCTGAATAATCAGTACATTTCTAGCTTTTTTTTTTTAAGGTAATTTGCTTAATTATTAAGATAAATATGTACAACAAAAACATAGTTTAGCAGCTTCATTTCTCATTTTAAAAAGAGTTTCGTTTGTGTTTTAAGGACTTCGTAAAGATCCCATCAATTGCTCCTCACAATAGCCAACCAGAAGATTATTCCATTGCTTTTGAAGCACTGGTTGCACTGGCATCTGTGATGGTAGCCAAATAAATGATATTTCTATATAACACATGCAGGTACATGCTTGAATTATTTGCTCGATTTACCTAGTCGGTAAACTCCTAATCATTTTTCAAAACCTATTTCTGGGCCCTCCCTGGTGGCACAATGGATTAAAGTGCAGCATCATGAAGTTTGCCAGAGCTGCTTCAGCATGAGTTTGTTAGGGAGTTGACCCACATGGGGTGGCAGACCTCTTCTGACTCACCCACTGCTCCCCTCAGCTGTGCATTTCAGTCAATCAGTCTATTCAACAACCCACTCTCTGATAAATGCTCTCACTCCCTGCACCTCTGGCTTGTACCCCAGTTTTGTATGCATAAATAAATAACTATTTAAAAAATAAACTATTTCTACTGATATTGAGAAGTTCTCTCTGTGTTCTATATTCACCCAACATTGGCTCTTCACTAATACCACTAAACATTTTTGTACATACATTTTTGCACTAATATCTCTGAACTTACTTATTTACAAAAACATTATTATCTCTTAAAAGACTGTAAGCAGATCTTGGTCAGAGATTTGTGCTATTAATTTCCATAGTCTTAAAATCTTACACAGCATATGGAAATTGAGTAAAATCTCAGTGTGTATTAGATGACTGAGTATTAATTATATTTTTATACCCTTTTATTTTGAAAAACATTATAACTAAAGTAGGGAAAGTAATATAGTGAACTCAGTATTCATTTCCCAGCTTCAACAATTACCAGTCTTATTTCCCCTCACCTACCATTTACTTCCCTATTTCCTTCCTGCTGTCCACTGATTATTCTGAAGCAAATCAAATGAGGTGTTTTTTTTTAAATAAAACTTTTGAAAAAGAATAAAACTTGCAGGGATGTGTAATGACATGAAGTGGGAAGAGTTTAATATAGGTAATTATTCCAGATATGATAGTTCATTACATTTTTATAAGCTTATATACTTAAGTACTTATTCTTTTAAAGTGTTTTGTACATTATTTCAGTTCTTTCAGGGCAACTCCCTGATAGGACAACTATAACATTAAACAACTTGCTAAAGAAAAACTTATTTTTTGCTTACCAAAGCCAAAAAGACTATCAGTCTTGCCAGTTCGATGGCCCTTCCATTCACAGCTTTACTAGCCATGAAAGTGAAACAGATGTTGTTCCCACTTAGGATTAGGAGACGTGCATTATTCTCGAGAAGCCACTCGCGGGGAACCACTTTTATTAGGGGAAGAAGAGTTATTTAATGAAAAATTACATAATAGCGGTAGTAAACATCATTAAATACATGCAATATTTTATCACTTGATCGGAAATACAATTGTGTCAAGGGAAAAGCTTAATAATGCTTTAGTTTTTCAATTACAGCTTTTAACCAGAGGTGAAGATTACGGTCATGTCAAGGCAGCTCTTATAAATGAAATTGTAATATGCTTAAAGCATTTCTTATTCCACATGTCAATAAACAAGGTGGTCCAATCCTGTATAAGAAACCTCATAGGTTTGGGAAATTGTTTCAGTTTCTCTGTAACTAACAGGAAAGGGCTTTCTTCTTATATAAGTTAGGAGGATGCTTCTAAAAACTGGCAAAAAGTGAATAATTAACTAATTAAATTATAAAGCTTTTGGATAATAATTGTAATATATACAGATAAAATTGGCAATTAAGAAAAGCACGTTTATTCTCTTCTAACGTGTCAAACTCTTTAAATACTTTAGAGCATTTAGTGATTTCCTACCAGTAGTTCATTTTATACCTGTAGAATCATCCTTACAATTTTATAACTATATGCTAATAACAAATTTCTATTGTTCTATGTGGTAAATATATAGATATAGATGTATGTTTTACCTGACAGTTCATCTACAAGACTGATAACATCATCGGCTGTCCACTCTTTGGTGCCTGTGTCATATAGCAATTTTATGGCATCAGCCAAACCTTTCAGACTGGATTCATCTGTAGGTCCTTCTATCATTTTCTGCCAAACAACCTGTCCTGAATGATAATTGAAACACAACTCGGCTATGATAGAAAAGTTGGCTAAAGACTTCATGGATTGTTTAAAAAGGAAATTGGATTGATAATGGACTCCATTAGTTAGATATATGCTACTTTTATTTTCATTTCATAACAAAATGTCAATTCTGATGATGTGATGAAGTATGGCAATGCTAGATAGCTAACTGAAGTAAAAAAAAGGTAATTTCAATGGAATATTGCTTCTAGTTTGAAGATTGCTATTCTTAATAGTGGAAATCAGAATAAACAATGATGTAATTTTCTTAAAAAGAAGTAAAATCCACTGATATCTTTCCAAAAGGAAAGCATGCTATATTTGAGAATTTCACCTTTAAATAAAAATGGGTTAATCCATTTTTATTACTCACCTATATGACTTGTTATACTTGTTAATTACATACACACAATTTAATCCCAGATAGATTTTCTGCTGCTACTTTGAATACTTTATATCAGTTACTGCCTATCATAAGGCAATATGAGGTAAAGAAATGTATGCTAATCTTAACATGAATCTAAATAAAACTTAATTAGCATAGCAAAAAACTGTTAAAAATCATATTATGCATCTAAATTTAAGTAAAACATCAAATCTAACTTACTTTTTTTCACTGGTGCTATTAGTTCCCTCCAGCACCAAACATAACCTTGAGTGAAGCTAATTCCACAAATGAAAAGCAGCTATTTTAGGCAAGCCAGATACAATGGGACTATATACAGCAAATGCTAACAATGGAATGACTTATCTTGAAACTTAAGTTGTGAACATGTTAATGTAGTACCAGCTATAAAATCATAAAGCACAGGAATGATGAAGCTTGAACAGGTACACAAAGATATGCTTCCTGAAGTAAAAATAACTAACTAGTGTTGAGACAGATGACCTTAAAAAATGGATGCTCACCATCTTGAGGAGATATTGGTCCAAAGATGACATATAGTAATCTTGCCTGATTCACCATTGGCCATGGCTTTAATATACGAGTCAACCAAAAAGCAGAATCACTTTGATGTATCCAGTGATCGAGTAGGACATTCCTACAGAACAGTCTGATCCTTAACTCTAGTTTCCGGGCACTTCCTATAAAGACAGAAGAATTGCAACCAGTCTTCCTGAAAAGGTTGATAGGTATATTGAGTAGGTCAAAGACATTATCAATATGCTTTGTATATTTCATTTTCCTCTTAAAATTTTCAGATTAGCTAATGGCTACTTTAAGAAGTTTTATTGAGATATAATTGATACACCACACAATTTGCTCATTTAAAGTGTATAATTCAATGTTTTAGTGTATTCACAGATAATGTGCAGTCATCACCAAATAAATTTTATCTCCTTAAAAAGAAACTCTGTTCGGGCCCTCCCTGGTGGCGCAGCGGGGTAAAGCACAACACTGACAATCTAAAGCCGGTTCCGCATGAGTTCGATTCCCGCCTGCCCCAGAGGTGACCACATGGCGTGGCAGACCTCTCCTGACCCGCCCGCTGCTCCCCTCAGCAGTGAACTTCGTCGATCTGCCTGTTCTGCTCCCCACTCTGTCTCTGGTGAAGCCTCTCACCGCCCCTGAGCCTCTGGTCTGTACCCCAGTTCTGTATGCACAAATAAATAAATCTTTAAAAAAAAAAAAAAAAAGAAACTCTGTTCTTTGATCTCTCTCCTGTCCTTCTATCCTTTACTACTGCCATCTCTAAGTGAGCAATATTTGCATTCTCTAAAGATTTCCCTATTCTGGACTTTCATATGAATGAAATCATATAGCATATGATCTTCTGTAACTGGCTTCTTTAACTTAGCATAATGTTTTCCAGGTTTATCCATGTAATGTCAAGTATCAGTACTTTATTTTTATGGCCAAGTGATATTCTACTATAAAACTATCATATTTTGCTCATTCATTTATCCACAGACAAACATTTGGGTTGTTTCCACTTTTTGGCTCTTATAACTAATGCTATTAACATTTATGTGCCAATTTCTGTATTTCTATTTCTCTTGGGGATATACTTAAGGGTAGAATTATTGGATCATATGATAACTTTATATTTAATCATTTTTTAAAGATTTATTTTATTTGTGCATCCAAGAACTAGGGTATAGGCCAAAGGTGTGTGTGTGTGTGTGTGTGTATCCGCAAAAGACAGAGTAAGGAGAAGAGGAGGCAGACAAATACACTGCTGAGGGGAGCAGGCAGCAAGACAGGAGAGGTCTGCTGCGCCATGTCCTGTGCCAGCATCCTGGCTGGGGATTGCTCATGCTGCAGTGTTTGCCTATAGCTTCATTGTACTAAGACTTAACCCCTTGTGCTACCAAGGAGGCCCAATATTTAATCATTAAAGAACTGTTAGACTCCTTTTCAAAATGAATGTACCATGTGATGTTCCCACTAGCAGTATATGAATGTTTCAATTTTTCCACATTCTCACAATACTTGTTATCTGATTTTTTTATTCTAGCCACCCTAGAGTCAATTTCTAGGTACGAAGTGGTATCTTCTGTTTGCTTCGTTAACTGTTTTTTTTTAAAGTATATATAATTTAAATAGCATATATTATATAGTATACACAGTATGTAACTATCTTAAAATATATAATTCAAGGCCTATTCCAAAAAGAGTATAAACTAGCTACCCTAAAAGCAGATACTAAAACAAACACTGTGTACCAAACTCCTAGCTTTCTCAGAGCTTTATTATCAACATATTTGCTTCAGATTTTTTTTCATATTTGCTTCAGATTTAAAAACACTGTAAACATACAGCTTTTTAAGTTTCACTCCCAGTCCCCTTCATTTTTTACTCCAGAGACAATCACATTCTTGAATTTGAGTTTTGTCCGCCTGTATTAGTTAGTTTTCTAGAGAACAGAACTAAGAGGTTATGTACATATACACAGAGAAGGATTTATTTTGAGAAATAATATCCTCATTCAATTGTGGAGGCTCAGCAAGATCAAAATTTGCAGGGTAGGCCAGGAAGCTGAAGATGTTGTAGACCAGCAAGGAAGAGTTGTAGTTCAAATGCAAAGGCAGTCTGCTGGCAGAATTCTTTCTTGTTTGGGGAAGTAGTCTTTTTTTTTTTTTTTTTTAAATTTCAGTTTTTAAAAGTTGTAGTATTAGTTTATTCAGTGTTTTTCAGTTTTGGTGCTCAGTGATTAGATGAGGCCGATACATATTATGGAGGGTAATCTGCTTTACCCAAAGTGTACTGATTTAAATATCAATCTGAATCAATGGGGCTCAATGGGTTAGGATGCAGCACTGCACACTGGCCGCAGCCACTTCAGTGTGAGTTCGATCCCCCACCCCTGAGGTGATCCACATGGCATGGCAGACATCCCCTGACCAGCTCGCTGATGATCCCCCTCAGCAGTGTACTTCGTCAATTTGCCTGGTCTGCTCCCCACTCTGTCCTGGTGAAGTCTCTCACCATCCCTGAACCTCTGGTCTGCACCCCAGTTCTGTATGAATAAATAAATAAATCTTTAAAAAAAAACAAAAAACACAAATACCTTGGTACCCAAGTCTACCCAAACTGATACCAAAAATTAACTATCAAATCTCCTGATGATGTTTTTACATTTTTAAAAAATATTTATTTATTTATGCATATAGAACTGGGGTGCAGGCCAGAGGTGCAGGGGCAGTGAGAGGATTCACCAGAGACAGAGCAGGAAGCAGAACAGGCAGATCCATGAAATACACTGCTAAGGGAAGCAGCGGGTAGGTCAGGAGAGGTCTGCTGCCCCATGTGGGTCACCTTCGGGGCAGGTGAGGATTGAACTCATGCTGAAGTGACTTTAGCTTCTTAGTGCTGCACTTCAACCTGCTGTGCCACCAGGGAGGGCCTGTTTTTACATTTTTAATATACTGAACTATTTTGCATGTTTTAAACACACATATTAATTAATAGGTATAGAAAGTGTCCTTTATTCTTAATTACATTTTGAGATTTATCCATGTTTATATGTATGACTCTAGTTCTTTCCTTATAACTACTAATAGTTTTAATTTCATGAATGGGCCACAATTCATTTGTCTATTCTCCTGACAATGGGCATAAGTGTTGCATGCAGCTTTTCATGGTGACATGTTCTAATGCTCATCCTTACACATGTCTCCTTGCATGAAGTATGTAATTAATATGGTGTAGGGTTCCATCACTTTAAAACTATGCAGTATTACATGTAAAGGTTTAAGAAATACTACAATGGGCCCTCCTTGGTGGCACAACAGGTTAAACATTGTTGCAAGCTAGCTGCAGCCGGTTCAGTGAGAGTTTGATCTCCGCTCTGGAGGTAAGCCACATGGCATGGCAAACCTCTCCTGTCTCACCCGCTGCTCCCCTCAGCAGAATACTTTGTCAATCTGCCTGTTCTGCTCCCCACTCTGTCTCTGGTGAATCCTCTCAGCTCCCCTGCACCTCTTGCCTGTACCCAGTTCTGTATGCATAAATAAATCTTCAAAAAAAAAAAAAGATACTACAATGAACACCTTTGAATCTTAAGAAAAACATATTAATACAGTTGAAACCCTCTGAGTACATCTTTCTCTAATCACATGACACTTTTTTCTCACTGTCCAATGCAGGACTTATCATTCTCTTACATTTCTTTGCTCTTTTACTACATATAAATGCAACAATTTTAAAAAATACTTATTTTAACTTTGCTCCCCCCTCCAACACACACACTTTAATTGCTATATATTGTGAATTGTAGTTCTTTACCTGGTTTGCTGCAGACAACTGTCTGCATCTTCCGTGAAAGATTAGTCAGCTCACATAAGAAGTTATAAACACGATGGCACTCAAGTTCATCCCAACCTGCTGTTAATGTCTGAGGATAATAAAGTAAAGGTTGCAGATGGTCAGACTATCAAGTTAAAATGTAAGTCACTATTGCCTTATTAGCATAACTTATCCACTATGGAACTATTCAAATTAATGAAATAATTTACAAGGGCCCTCCCTGTTGGCGCAAGGGGTTAAAGCATAGCACTATGAAGCTAGCAGCTTCAGCACCAGTTGGATCCCCCACTGGGGGGGTGACCCACATGACAGCAGCAGACCTTCCCTATCTCTCCCACCTGCTGCTCCCCTCAGCTATGTATTCTGTCAATCTGCCTTTTCTGCTCCCACTCTGTCTCTGGTGAGTCCTCACTGCTCCTGTGCCTCTGGCCTTTATCCCAGTTCTGTATGCATAAATAAATAAATCTTAAAATAAAATGATTTACATAAACAAACCTAAAAAAATACCCCAAAATCCAATTTTATTTTGGTTATAAAAAGGGTATCTTTTCAGAGAGCTGGTAACTCTATATGAGGAAAATCAGGTAAGGCCCAAACCCTAAAAACACAACTGACATCTAATTCATAACTATAGTGTGGCATACAGTATACCTCTTTCCCCTTCTCTAGCTATTGTTTATGATAATTCTTACAAATGATAATGATCTCATTTTACTGTGACAATTTATGATGTTTGGATGTAAGCAAATAAAATGTTTTTATTAGGACAAAATTTAAGCATTATCTTTGAGCAAACCATAATGCACAGATAAGCATATATGAAAAGGAAATTCAAATGCCATAGCACTAGAATTAATTTTGAAAAGACTGATTAATCGCATAAATTTTTCTTAAAATAATTGAACTGAATTCCATTAGTTTTAAAATTCATCTTATTTTCTCTGGAAGGACATATAAGAAGCTGTTGACAGTGGTCCCTTCTGTTCAACAGAACTCTGGATGATGAACATGTGTGGAGTAAGCGCAAGACTTTTCACTTTCTACCATTTTGTACCTTTTGGATTTAATATGATTACATGTGCTTATATCATTTGTCCAAAGAAACAAGCAAATAAAAAAATCTATCTTGGAAGAAGGTTAGTAGCAGGGTTTAGTGCCTTGGAATTTGGGCATCGATATACTAGCTATGTTACACGGCAAGACTATTGTACACCTCCTAAGGTTGTAAAGTTTAAGTAAGTCATTATATGTAAACTGCTTAGAAGAGTATTAATATTAATATTGAATTGCATTAAATAATATTATTTTACCTTCTAATAAAAGAGTTGTCAAAATATTCTTAAAATCACACAGTTGATTTATTAAAAAAAATTTTTTTTAGTCCGGCTTATTGAGATATAACTGACATATAACAATGTGTAAAGTTAAAGTTATACAACATGATAATTTTATACATTGTGATCTACCCTTATCCACTGGCAACGTATTCCAAGACTCTCACTGGATGCTTGAAGTCAGGGGTAGTACTTAACTGTAGATATACTATATGTTTTCCTACATATACATACTACTAATAAAGCTAATTTATAAATTAGGCACAGTAAGAGATTAACAGAAATAACTAAAAATTAAATAGAACAATCATTACAATATACTGTAGTAAAAGTTAAGTGAATGTGGCCTCTCAGAATTATCGTAGGTAGTATTTTAGGACTACAGTTGACTGTGGGAAGTGAAACCAAGGATAAGGGGTCTATTGAAAATATATATTGCAAAATGATTATCACAGTAAGGTTAGTTAACACATTTTTAACTTCTCATGATTACTTTTTTTCATATAGTTGATTTCTAAAAGCATATCTTAAATAACCGACCCAATACTTAAAACTGATTACATACACACTCACATACACACCTCTCTCTACAATATTTCTAGTCTTTATAGTTGACTGGAAATTTTGAGAAGATTGGTATAGAGCAAATAAATGTTAAATATTTCATACCAGTGAGAAATCCAAGAAGAAAATCCGAGGTGCTAAGCATACTATAAGATTAACACATTTTCAAATCTTTACAATTTTATCTTTCCTTTTTATATTATCACTTTTATTAAGCTATGGAGAGATAAATTACATGCTCTACTTGTTAACAGTTCAAAAAGCACCTCTTTTCTTTCATTAAAAAAGTATGCCTGTATGAAAAAATGTTCAACATCACTCGTAATAAGGGAGATGCAAATTAAAACCACAATGAGATACCACCTCACCCCAGTGAGAATGGCACATCT